TCTTTACTCATTGCCTAAGTAAATTTCATTTAATTAAAACTTTCATCTTGTTAAATATCACAGCAGATTTCAATTCCCCAGATGGGTTGAAGGCCCAGTGAAGTTCTTTTCTTATTGCTTAGGGATTACTTTTATGTTCCATAGTTAGGAACAACATAAGTCAGGGTCCAAATTTCTATTTTTCTATTTTTTATTTCTATCTTTTTTCCCTAAGATTGATTCAACAAGCATTTATTGAGCACCCCTTGTATCAGGCACCCTATTAGGGAAGTGAGCAAAACAGTCCCTGTGTCTGCCCTTACAGAGCTTACAGCCAATTGGAGGTAACAGACATTGAACAAAAAGAATTATGAATACGACAAATGCCATGAAGAAGGGAAGGGTACTGGGGGAATATGTAATAGATGTAGCTAATCCAGCCTGATTGGGGGTGGGCGTGGGTAGAGATGATTTTTCCAAAGAAGTTCAAGTTTAGGCTTGAAAACATGAGAAGGAGAAGAGTGGTCCAGGAGAAATAAGGGAACAGCTTGTGTCAAGTCTCTGTGTAGAAAAGAAGGCTACCTACTGAAGGACCCAAGAGGAGGTCAGTGTGACAAGAGTGGTGATGTAGGAAATGTTGGAGAAAAGACAGGCAAGGACCAGATCACATAGGTCATCTTAAGGATTGGAAAATTTATTCTAAGGGTAATGAAAAACTAATGGAGAAATTCAGCCGAGAAATAAAAGTTTTTAGAAAGCTTAATATGACTAAAATGTAGAATACAAAAATACATTAACTTACTATTTAATTTGTTCTGGAATGTGCTCTTATATTTAGTAATCCAATGATATTAAGACTTTTTATTTTTTTAATTTTTATTTTTTTAAAGATTTTATTTAATTTTTTGAGAGAGAGAGAATGAGACAGAGAGCATGAGAGAAAGGAGGGTCAGAGGGAGAAGCAGACTCCCTGCCGAGCAGGGAGCCCGATGTGGGACTCGATCCCGGGACCCCAGGATCATGACCTGAGCCGAAGGCAGTTGCTTAACCAACTGAGCCACCCAGGCGCCCCAAGAATTTTTATTCTTCTTAATATATTTTTGTATTCAAAAAAACAAACTATCTAGATTTCTGATACACATAATTTTTCTGAGAATGGAAAAGACCTTAGAATAGTTAAACAAAGCAGAACAGTCCTTGGGTATGTATCCTTAGTATATATTGAAGTGACAGACTTACATCCTGAGTTCTTTGCTTTACATCTGTATCATATCTTAACTTGAATTGCAAATAGAGGTGGTAAAATAATAAAGACAGGAAGAGGAAGAAGGTGTGCATGTGCGTGTGTGTGCGCGCACATGTGATTTCCCAGGGTTTGGAAGAAGAGCAGATGACCAAGAATATCATATCACATTCTCTGTTCTCAAAAATAGTCTACCTTATAGAAATTAGGAAAGTGCAGACTCTAAAATATTAAAAGATTTTTTTTTCTTTTAGTTGGACATTTTAAGAAAAAAAATGGCAGCTTCTGGGTAATACAACAGATTTTGAGATGAAACATACTGATTTCACAATAGGGACACCAAGATGGCATCAGAAGTATTGTCCTTGGAGTAGTAAAGAGAACACAAACAGTGTTATAAGGCCCTTGGACAATATAGACTGTTAAGAGGCTAATGTTTTAATTTTCTTTTTTTTATTTTAAATACTCTTCAGTTTTCCCTATGAGCATTTCTTGTCTTCTCCAGAAGGTCTGTGTCCCTTAAATTAGCAGATAAGATTTTAAAATACCCAGAGGTATTTTCTAATTGGGAATTGGGAGAAGTTCTTGAAGATTAATAAGGTTTCCCTTAGTAAATATTAGGAGAATGGAGAAGGAGAATGAGCTCTGACTACCATTCTCTGTTACCTCACTGCCTCCAAAACCACAAGTTTCTTCTCTAGGATCTTGGGCTGCAAGGCTTCCTAACTGTTCTTCAGGCTCAGTGACTCCTGCTCAGGAGTGAATGAATATATACTTGGCAAACTGCTTGAGAAAGGCTGCTGACCCTCGGCCTAAGAAATCTTGAGCAACAGGAGACCTGAGTCTAAATGTCAATTTGTATATGACTCACTATTTGAAGAGAATGAATCGTTCTTTTGGTTGAATCATCTAGCTCCATGACCTGAGGTGTGGTACTGAAGATAGCATGGACCGGCTTCACACACATTGTATACTTGAATACATTCTACTCATCAAAATAGAAACACATGTAGTAAATACCTAATTGTGTACGTGATTTGCAATCATTCAGAATATGTAGGCTAAATATTAAAATAAATTAGTGCTTGTTATGGTTTCATGGGTCAGGTAAGATGTCTGTTATCATAAAAAAGGGAGGAGGCTTCCTATGTATTAATTACCAGGTTACCAAAGCTCTGGGTAAATTTGGTAGGAATGTTAAGAGTAGCTTGTCAGCAAGTAGTTACTGTCTGGTTGAAAACTGGACACTCTGTTTACTTGGGCCAAAATGCAGCTATATTAGGCTAATTTTTTTTTAAGATTTTATTTAGGGGCGCCTGGGTGGCTCAGTTGGTTAAGCGACTGCCTTCGGCTCAGGTCATGATCCTGGAGTCCTGGGATCGAGTCCCACATCGGGCTCCCTGCTCAGCGGGGGGTCTACTTCTCCTCTGACCCTCTTCCCTCTCGTGCTCTCTGTCTCTCATTCTCTCTCTCAAATAAATAAATAAAATCTTTAAGAAAAAAAAAAAGATTTTATTTATTTATTTGACCGAATGAGAGAGAGAGAGGGAGAACAAGCAGGATGAGTGGGAGAGGGAGAAGCAGGCTCCCTGGGGAGCAGAGAGCCCAATGCCTGGCTCGATCCCAGGACTCCGGGATCATGACCTGAGCCGAAGGCAGACACCTAACCAAATGAGCCACCCAGGCACCCCATATTAGGCTATTTTTAGTGATAAAAAGTTTTTTAAAAGTTTCAACTCTCCAGAATCTGACTCAAAACGTCCTGATATTGTATTCTTTTTGTTTTTGTTTTTGTTGTTGTTGTTAAAGATTTTATTTGACAGAGAGAGAGAGAGAGAGCATGTGAGTGCACAAGCAGGGGAAGTGGCAGAGGGAGAGGGAAAAGCAGGCTTCCAATGTGGGGCTCAATCCTAGGACCCTGGGACCATGACCTGAACCGAAGGCAGACACTTAACCCACTGAGCCACCCAGGTGCCTCCCTGATATTGTATTCTTTTCTGTGATCAGAGTCAGGGATAAAGAAATCTATCTTCTAGCACTGAATAAGAATAGATTTGGGTGTGTGGTCAGACCTATGAGTATTACAAAGAGTGGATAAGCTACCATTTAAAAACAATAATTTTATGCTGTAGTAGTTCTATTCCTTTTAGCTTGATATAAAAGAGTAAGAGGACAAAAAGAAAATTAACATTTATCAAGTGCCAGTGTTATATGTCATTTATACTTAGTCACATACATCATCATTAAAGTTCACAGGAATCCTGTAACAGGTAATGTTTCCATATTGGTCAAGGAAGAAACTGAAGGTTAGAGACTGGGAGGGCAGAGCTGGAATGCACACTCAGGTCTGCTAGCTTATGATCTTTCCACAAAATCACTTAGGCACAAACAAAAAAACCCTTAAAATCAGGTAGGGTTAAAAATGAACTATTGGGACTTCATCAAGATAAAAAGCTTTTGCAGAGCAAAGGAAACAGTCAACAAAACCAAAAGACAACCGACAGAATGGGAGAAGATATTTGCAAATGACCTATCAGATAAAGGGCTAGTATCCAAAACCTATAAAGAACTTATCAAACTCCACACCCAAAGAACAAACAATCCAATCAAGAAATGGGCAGAAGACATGAACAGACATTTCTGCAGAGAAGACATCCAAATGGCCAACAGACACATGAAAAAGAGCTCAACATCACTTGGCATCAGGGAAATACAAATCAAAACCTCAATGAGATACCACCTCACACCAGTCAGAATGGCTAAAATTAACAAGTCAGGCAACGGCAGATGTTGGCGAGGATGCAGAGAAAGGGGAACCCTCCTACACTGTTGGTAGGAATGCAGGCTGGTGCAGCCACTTTGGAAAACAGTATGGAGGTCCCTCAAAAAGTTGCAAATAGAGCTACCCTACGACCCAGCAATTGCACTACTGGATATTTACCCCAAAGATACAAATGTAGTGATCTGAAGGGGCACATGCACCCCAATGTTTACAGCAGCAATGTCCACAATACCCAAACTATGGAAAGAACCTAGATGTCCATCAACAGATGAATGGGTAAAGAAGATGTGGTGTGTGTGTGTGTGTGTGTGTGTGTATATATATAATGGAATATTATGCAGCCATCAAAAAATGAAATCTTGCCATTGGGTATTATGCTAAGCGAAATAAGTCAATCAGAGAAAGACAAGTATCATAAGGTCTCACTGATATGAGGAATTCTTAATCTCAGGAAACAAACTGAGGGTTGCTGGAGTGGAGGGGGGTGGGAGGAATGGGGTGGCTGGGTGATGGATATTGGGGAGGGTATGTACTATGGTGAGTACTGTGAATTGTGTAAGACTGATGAATCACCGACCTGTACCCCTGAAACAAATAATACATTATATTGTTAATAAAAAAAAAATCCGGTAGGATTAGACAAAGTAAGAATTTCTTATTAATTTCTTTTGGTTTAGATGTAATTTATATCTGCAGGGGAAAAAAGTGAATAAAAGTTATTGCATAAGGATGCAATATTCTACAACTCTTTTGATGGGGGGCAGTAGAAAGAGGTGAAATTGGAAAATGGACATTAAGCGATATGTAAATTCCGGGTTTTCTGAGTTTTATTGATTTTCAAAAGTTAGTTTCAGGATTGACATTGATGTTACTATTCTATCTAGTTTGTAGGGACATTGTAAAGCTATTGAAGAATTCTATAAAATTCTTAGGAAAACTGCTATAAAATATAAAGGTTATTTATATTTCTGTGTACCTAAAATACTTTGTTCTTACCTTAATTACTGCACCCACCATACTGCATTCTTAGCACTTCTCCACTCTCTCTATCTCTACCAGAAGGTGGGTTTCTCCAAGACAGGGACGTAGTCTTCACCATGGTATCCATAGTAACCTGGACAGTGCCTGAAATACAATGTTTAGTAAATGCTTATAGAAAAAACAACAAAAGGATTCATCTTTCTAATCCCAGTTTCCTTATTTCTGAAATGAAAAGATAGTAATACTCTCCTAGATCCCTTGTCAGGACTGTCATGACATATGCTCAAATACTGTTTATTGGAGCTGTAAGCCACAGACATAAAAGGTGTTACTGTGATGATTACTAAGGGAGTAATTATTTTACCTAACATAAATTTTTTATTCTGGCTAAAATCTTTTTTAAAGATCTAATACATTTCAGGAAAGAGAGGTAGGGTATTTTAGGTAATATGTGGTAGTAATCTCCATCCTTGGGCTCTAGAGTTGAAGGAAAAGAAGTACCTACACCAGGGATGAAGAACAATCTTTCACTAGGTGGCTCTCTTTTCCGTGAGTGGGTGGCGCGTTGGTGCAGCGAGGGATGACAGGGGTCATTGTACGGCTGCAATCCCCACGCTTCACCCATCACAGTAGGCTGTGGCAGCAGGAGGTGCAGGGCATAGTTCAAGTTCTGTTTCGTTAATGATAATCTATTCTTGGGATTTATTTCAGAGTAGCCTGTACTTTCGTTTCCTCCAAACGTATACGTGATGTTCCAAACAGACATTGGTCTAGTCTTGTTATAGGTGTGGTCTCAGGGAAGGATCTTGAAAAGTGCCTCTTTACCTAGCGTGGAAACAGCATTAACTATCTAGTGAGGGCTGCATTCCGGGGGTGGGTTCTAAGTTATACATCTACTAAAGCACTTGGGTACTGCTACGTAATGGACGCCACAATACAAAGTGAAAATATAATTTGTAAAATGTCAAACAAGTCCTTTAGACCATGAGAATGACCATTTCTCCAGCTACTTCTCACACTCCATAGTATTATTGACCCCATTCTTTATTTCTGGTTTTTAGCCCCAAACCTGATACAAAATACACCTAATACTTTCAAAAAGATTTGTTCTAAAAATGAAAATCCTTTTCCTAGGTGCCTTTCATGGGTAGTTTGCGCCAGTATCTAGGTTCTTGTCGATAGTATTTTACCCAACGTTTTCCTCTCAGACCCAAAAGATACAGAGTTCTAAAACACCTTGGACCCATCAGAGAAGTCTGCAGAGGGAGGAACTCAGGTCGGCCTTTAACAATCAAGTGGGACCCCCACTGGGGGGTGCCTCTGAGACGGATGGCAGTCGTGGGGTTCTCACCACGTCCCTGGCTCTAAATGCTGGAAAACCACTTGTCAAGTCTCCTAGGATGTGTTCCCACACTTACTCTGGCGGCCTCCCGGCAGCAGGAGGTGGCTCGGTCGCTGCCAAGGGCGTGTGCGGGCGGCAGTTGGGGGATTTCGGTAAGGGGTCGACCCGCCAGGAAAAGTCTGAGGTCCCTGCCCGGCAGGAGAGGAATCTGGGTCGTCGTGTGCCGTTCTCCTCCCTCAGGGACCCCGTCCTGGCGGGATCCCGCCTCTCCGAGCCCGAGGCAGTCCTGGGGAAACCCCTCGCCAGCCTCACAGCTTCCCGCCGCCACCCCGCCCGGCCGCCTCGCCCTCCATGCTCCAGACAGCAGCTCGCCAGCCTTCAGGCCCGGCGTCTTCCTCGCAGGCCCGGCCCTCTCCACGCCCCGCACTGAGAGGAAACTGGAGGTGGTTCCCGCCCGCAGGCGGGTGGAAAAGCCCACGGTGAATGCCTCGGGGTCCCCCATTGTTGCGGGAAGGGGAAAGGGAAGAGGAAATGAACTTCACTGCCCAGGAGAGCACTCGGATTCCCAACCTGGGGGAGGCTTTTAGACGGAAGGGAAGCCAAGGGGGAACTCTGGGCGCTTTCCCGGGAATCCATTCGCCAAGGGAGGGTCCCCCAGTCCGCACACATTGGTTACTATGACAATACAACCACAGCCTCCAGTTGCCATGGCAGCTGCTTATCCAATCCGATTGGTTTCCTTTCTCTTCCTCCCTGGGCTCCACCCCATCCCCTTCAACAGTCTCCAGGCGTGCAGGAGGAGGGGCCCCAGAAAGGGGGAGGGGGTCCTTAGCATCACTCTCTGGGGCGCGAGGGAAGACTAGAGTTGAGGGACTGGCGGGCGGAACTGTAAGAGAAAGGGGCAGCGTTTCCGGTAGGGAAGAGTGGAGGAGTGGAAAAAGGAAGAGAGAAATCGGGTGGAGTGGAAAGACGGGGGAAGACTTTGAGTGTAACTCCTGGTTGATTTGGGCTCGATGTTCCCGGTGAGGCTGGGGTTGCCCCCTCGCGCGGTAGAGGGGTGGATTGGCCGGAAGCCGCCAAACGCCTCCAGCAGGCCGCTCAGCAGCGGCACAGACGCCTCACAGCTAGCCGATCCCAAGAGGGAGCGCCACAGAGAGGCAGAAGTCACCCGGAGGGACGGGCGCCACTGAAATCTCGCGAGAGGGACCCCCACTTCCTTCCTCTGCTTCTCCCTCCTCTTTCCCCCCGCCCCCTTCCCTTCTCCCTCCCCCTCCCCCCTCCCGGGTCGGAGTGTCCCTGCGCCCCACGGGCCAGAGCAGCAGCGAGAGCAGCTTTCCCCGCTCCCTCCCCCTCGCCTCACTCACCCCCACCCCCCCGCCGAGCGAGGAGGAGCCGGAGGAAAGGAAGATGGCGGCGGCCGCCAGCACCCGCGGTGCCGCGGGGCCGCTTCGAGGAGCCTGAGAGACCCATAGAGGCTTCGCGGGAAGACGCGGCGGCGGAGGATGAGCCTGCAGAGCGCGCAGTATCTCCGGTGAGTGCAGAGGTCGCTCCTGTACGTGGGGGGAGCTGGTCGAGGGTTGGGGTACGGAGCAGCAGACACAGAGGTGGTGTGTCGGGGTGGCGGGGGAGTTGCTGTGTCCTCTTCTTCCCCGGCGGGGAGGCGGGGGCTGCGAGGGGATCCGCGGGAGGGGGCGGGGCGGGCACACTCTCGGGTGCCTAGCCCCCGCGGGCCGGGCTGAGTTCCAGCGTAGCCAGCTAGTCCTGGTGCCGGGAAGGAGGTTAGGGAAGCGTGAGAATGTGTGTGTATGTGCGCGCGCCCCCGGGGGTCGCAGGCTCGCTGGCGGGGGGGGGGGGGGGCGGCGGCGGCGGCGACCCCGAGTGGAGGTGGGTGTGGAGTCTGATCCGGGTGGTGGGGGTAACGTTGTGTGGTGTGGGATTGGTTGGGGCGATGCATGGGGAGAGGACGAGCTGGAAGTCTGCACACCTGGGGGAGGGGGGCGAGGACGGAGGACTAGAGGAGAGGGAGACCGCTGGGAACCCGAGTTTGTTCTTTATTCTCGGGTTGAAAGTGCTGAGGAAAAATGTCATCTGTAGTTAGTTGGCGGGGTGGGGGTGGGAGCATAAAGAGGGGGGAATGGATGAGGAAGTGAGGGAAGAGGGAGGTACTATGGACGGTGTTGGGTTCCCCAGAAGAAACTGAGTTAGAATTAGTGTAGTCGGAAGATACCATTCTGAGAGTCGTGTGCATTCATTAAGAGTGGTGTAAGGAACTTGTATGTCGGTGGTAGAGTGACGCATGGATCCAGAGCTCTGTGTGCGAGTATGTGATGTGTGTCTGGGGTGGTGTAAAGGGAGCCACTGATAAACATTTTAGGAAGGGTAAGATAGATACTTTGGATCCAAGTATGTGATGGTGAGAGCATATTGAATGGAAAGAGACCAGCGATTGTGCAGCCAGGAAGATTCCATGGAAGCAGAATAAAAGCTTGGAGGTAGAAGTAAAAGAGGGTCGAAATCTTGATGGCAGAGAAATTTAAGGTTGTTAGAGACTGAGATTAATTGGAGAGTTGCTACTTCTTAGAAAAGGGGAAGGAAGACCTTAAAAGGGATCCTTTTTGTCTTTCAGGAGCAGAACTAAGGCAGGCTTATGGGAAGATCTTTTAAAAAAATGGTTTCATACCTTGTAGAGGAGGGAACTGGATGGGACAGAAGTCTGAAATGAGCAGAAGCATCACTTTAGCTGTTTAGTGAAGTGAAAGTATTGATGTGTGATTGGCTTTATGCATATTAACAAGAGAAGGTAGGTAGTAAGTGATATAGGAGAGTGAGTAGCTATTCTACTTATGAAAGTAGTAATAGTTTCATTAAGCAGAGTGTGGAGAGAGTAGTGATGAGATCTTTGAATTATGGTTGAATGCTCGAGTTTAACAGTGACAGGATCCACACAACGTGTGTGCTCAATGACTATAGGGTAGTTGGAATGTTATCCATCACAGTCCTTTTTCTCCACTATTATCCTTTATTGTTTAACATATCAGATGAACTTAATAAATAAAACTGTGGGAAAGATCTATGGTAGATGTTGTAGAGGGAGCTTATGGGACTCATTAGGCTAGTACTTAATTTTAAGGAATTTGCAGTTTAGTTTATTAGGCAAGTAAATTAATAACAGCACAGAGTAAACTATGACAGGTATCAAAAAGATGCCAAGTGTTTTAAGAGTCTGAAGGCAGAATATTACCTGAGCAATTGGGGGAAATCAGGAAAAGCTTCCTTTGTTCATTTGCTCATTCATACACTCATGATTCATCAGTCATTTTGTTGATCACCTATATGGGAGGTATTGTCCCAACCGCTGAGAATAGAAAAAAACTCCACCCTCTTCTTACAGAGTTTACAGTTTGTTAGATTTCAAGGAGAAAATGGCACTTAAAATGGACCTTTAAGGATAAGCAAAATTCTGACAGGTGTGGATTGAGAATGGGGAATCCAATGGAAGGAGACTGAGCAGAGATACGAAGATAGGAAGGATGGGGGCCAGGGAAGATGTCTAGTCTAGTTAAACAAGAATATAGGATGATGCACCTGGAAAAACTTACATAGATTTTTTTATAGATGAAGTTCGACCTCTTCCTTTCACAGATGAAGAAAGTATAGTACAAAGAAGTAAAAATTGTTGAGGACCATATAGCTGGTATGTGGAAGCTCTGTAGGTCTTCTAACTCCGTATCAGCCATACTGTGTGACATGTCTGGGTTCATCCATTCTTTCCACAAATATGTATTGAGAGCTAAGTATATACCAGTTACTCTTGTAGGTGCTGGGGATACAATGGTGAACAAAAGAGTAAACATAGAAAGACATATTCTGGTAGAATTCTGCAATCAATAAACATATGAACAGATAAGTTTGTCAGGTGGTGACCATTAGGAGGAAAAGGCAAGGTATGGATATCTTGTTTTATATAGACAGGGTGATCAAGGAAAGCCTATTAGGTAAGGTGCCCATATTTGAGAGGGTCTTAAATCATGATCTGTAGTTTATAGTTAAAATGGATGAACAGTGGAGAATCTGAGATGCTTTGTTTAGAAGAGCATTCACATGCTCATTGATAGGTATTAGGGAGGTGAATCTGTGTAATGTAGTAATGGGCAGTTAGGACCAGAAATAAGGTGGTGGAAAAGAAAGGTACGAAAAGCAGACTGGAAGGGTGGTGATAATTTTAATGGGAAGATTGGTTGGCTTTGAGAGGCTTCTGTGTTAATGTGTTTTATATTTTGCAAAATCAGCATAATAGGGAAGACTTATCCTTAGGTTGTGGAATCACTGGTAGACCACTTGAGATGATTTGAGTTCTTTGAAGAAGGGAGAAAAGATTAACAATGAAAACCATGTTTAAATAACTTATATTTTCCAGCTGAAGTTGAGTAAGCAAAATTGAACAGACGTAGGACCTTGAGTCCCTCAAGGATTCCTGGGAGCCAGTCTTTTCTCAGTCTTGTACATCTATTCTAAGTAAATAAAGCGAGTCTTAGGGCTAATAGTAGTCTGGGACTTAGAGGGTAATGGGTAATAAAGACTTGCACCAACCCAGATTTCCCCTTTCCTCTTCAGATAATCATTCTATTTAAAATCGGCTGTCAGGAGGCTAGAGAATGTCTTCAGGGAAGCATCATGTTCACTTTCTTTTCTTTGTAGGAAACCGAACCTTTGATTTTTAGACAACTCGGGAAGGATGCTAGGTATTGCTGAACACGTGGGGTTTGGGATATAGCAATTATTCTTCGTGACCTTGACTTTCAGGAGAGTTTTGTTGCCTACCTTTCTCAATGGTATAAGACCATGACTGGGCAATTTTTATACTGCATAGCTACAGATCTTTTTGTGTAGATGAAAATTAGCATTGTATCAGCTGAATTAATTTGTTAAGAGTAAATGAGCTGGGGTGTCTGGCACTGAAATGGTAAGATTAACAATGAAAACCATGTTTAAATAACTTATATTTTCCAGCTGAAGTTGAGTAAGCAAAATTGAACAGACATAGGACCAGACTTTAAGATGGCAGTTTCAGAAGAGTGAGGTATGAGGTTATGAAGTAAAAAGCATCAGTAAGATGAAGATAGAGGGAATTCAAAATCAAGTGGACTGAATTACTCTTGAGTTGTAGAAATAGAGAAGAGATGAAAGGAAAGAAAACCTGTCTTCTGCTTGGGAAAGAAGGTGATGTTCTAGGCAAGACATGATGGACATTTTTTTTTTTTTTTTTTTGGAGGAGAAGTGTCTTTAATTTTTTTGAGAAGTGTCGTATTTTTAAATAGATTGACAAGACTCCTATCCAAATGAATAAATTGAGAATACTTTCCTACATTTTATAAAAATAAGAAATGGTTTTAAATATGAGGGTCCTAGACTGAATATCGTTGGAAATTTATTACTCAAATTGAAGAAAATTTCAGTGTTTTCTCTTTCAATTTATGACAAAATGGAAAGATCTTAAAGACTTTGACACCTCGAGTAGAAGAAAAGGGTATATTGGATATTGTTCATTTAATAAGGGGTGGGAGAAGGGTAAGGATAATCCATGGATGAAATAGTAGATGATGTATATCATGCTTTAAAACAATAGTATTTTAGGGAATAGAAATATGGGAATTAACATATCAAAGTTGGAAAAGCAAGCGTGGAGAAAGTATTGAAGTACCATATAGGGAAGA